TTCAGAGATGCAGATAACTTGAAAATAAAATAACGGGACAAGAGATGTCATGCAAACAGCAATAATCAGAAAGCTGGAGTGGTTTTGCAAGTATCAGATGCAATAGGCTTTAAACACAGCGATAATGGAGGTCGTTTTATAATGATAGCCAAACTGAACTGTGGGGACATGTAGACAATTCAACTGTCATAGCTGGAGACTTGAATACCCACTCCCAATAATGGAGAGAACAAGAGAACAACTAGTTGTGATCCACATGGGAATAGAAGACTTGGAAACACTGTGAACCCCCTAGACCTAAAAACTATGTATAGAAAACTCTACACAAAAGCAGCAGAAGACCTATTCTTCTCTGAACATCCTCCCAGATACTCCCCATTCTAGGTCAGAAACCAAGCTTTGAAAAGTGAAAAGGATTGCAATGATACAAGGTATGTTTCCTGCTACAGCGGAATGAGAAATGAAGTCAAAAATGGAAAGAAATTTGGGGAACTCACGTATATATGGGAATTAACCAACACAGTCCTAAATAACCAATGAGTCAAAGACAAAGTCACAAGGAAAATCAGAAAATGCTTTGAGATGAATGGGAATGAAGACACGTACACGAAAAGTGGTGGGACACAGCCAATCAGTACTTAGAGGGAAATCTGTAGCCGTCAAACATCACCACCAGCCACTTTCTGGACTGTTTCCCTCTTGCGAAACTGAAACTCTGCCCGTCACCCCTCTCACGAGTCCCTGGCAGCCATCATTTTACTTCCCGTGCCTGTAACTGTGACTGATCCACGTATGTTACATAAGTGGAATCTCAGTGCTTGTCTTTATGTGACTGGCTTATTTCACTGAGTAGGGCACCCTCGAGGTTCATCCATGTTGTAGCAGGTGTCAGTTTCCTTGCTTGTGAAGGCTGAGTATCTTCCATGGTACGCACACCCCACGTTTTGCTTCTGCACTCATCTGTCAGTGGACGCTTGGGTTGTTTCTACATTTTAGCCATTGTGAATAGCTTCTGTGAACATGGTGTATGTACACATATCTCTTCAAGACCCTGCTTTCTAGTTCTTTTATATACCCAGAATTGGAACTGCAGGATCGTGTAGTAATTCTATGATTTTTTAGTGTTGTTAAAGGATATGATGAAGGATCGGAATCAACAGCCAGATGGAATTGATGCACAGGGTGAGGTGGGGGAGAGGGTCTTGGAACTTCGTGTCCTCTCCAGGCACGTGACGCTCCCCACATCTCCACGGGTTCACGACCCAGAAGCTCCAATTTTTAATTTTTTGAGGACTCACCACACCGTTTTACACAGTTGTACCATTTTACCTGCCCGCCTACAGGGCAGGATAGTTCCAGTATCTCTACATCCTCGCCCATACTGTTACTTTCTGGTTTTTTGTTTTGTTTTTTAAATATAGTAGCCATCATAATGGATGGGAGTGGTCTCTCATTGTAGCTTTGATTTGCATTTCCCTGATGGGTGGTGATAAGCATCTTTCTTTGGCCATTTGATTATATCCTTTGGAGAAATGTCTCAGTCCACACACAGTTTTTTTTTTTTTTTTTAAAGATTTTATTTATTTATTCATGAGAGACAGAGGGAGAGAGAGAGAGGGAGAGAGAGAGAGAAGCAGAGGGAGAAGCAGGCTCCCAAGGAGCAGGGAGCCCGATGCGGGACTCGATCCCAGGACCCCGGGATCATGACCTGAGCCGAAGGCAGACGCTTAACCATCTGAGCCACCCAGGCGCCCAGTCCTCACACAGTTTTAAATCGGGTTGTTTTTCACGGCTGAGATTTAGGAGTTCTCTAAATGTTGCGGATATTAACCGTTTATCAGATACATGATTTGCAAATAATTACTCCCATTTTGTGGGTTGTCTTTTAACTCAGTGTCTTCCGATGCACAGAACTTTTACATTTTCACGAAGTCCAATTTGTGAGATTAATTTGTATGTTTTCATTTCACTGAAATTCTAAACATTTATTTTAGAGCTGGAGGGAATTTTGAAAAGTGAACTGGTATTTGTCCTGACACGGCAAAAGAACCAGTGGTGATCTTTTGAATTGACTGGCAACATATAGGAAGGCAACTCTGGACTCGTATTAGTGGCCTTGGACCCCATCTACTGTTAGGACTGCCTCATATAGGATTACAGGTCCTAGAAGCCTTAAAAATGTTTTACCTGCACGCTTAGGGTAAATCCATTGCCAAAAAACTTCAGGACAAAAGTTGCCTTCTTCAAGCGCTGCCTTTTTGTGCTATTAAGTTCTATATGTTACTCAACATTAGCAATTTTGTCATTGACTGCTCCTAGTAGATGTATGGAATGTTCATCTATATGTATATTTATATGTATATTGAACTTAGAATTAATGTAATCTAGAGCCTCGAAGCTCCCAGCTGGTTCAGAATGTAGTACAGTGTAGTGGGAAGCACGTGAGCTTTGGAGGCAGGCAGGTCTGTGTTCAAATCCCACTTGGGCACTTGGTGTCTAATACCGTAGATAAGCTGCTCAACCGGTGTTTAAGTTCCCTAGATAGGGCGCACCTGCTCCACCAGGCGGCTGGGAAGACTGGAAGAACAGATGGAAAACACACACAGCAGATGCTTCCGGTGGTTGTAGCTAGCAACACAGCGTTTGTTAGAGGCGGAGCTCCGCCATCTTTTGTGCAGGAAATACAAAGAAAACAAGTAGCACTGGTTACAACACATTTATTCACGTACCCTGTTGTGTGAGCGGGAGGTGCTTTTCACTTCCAATAATTCAATTAGGTTATAACAATTAAAATTCCAGAAGGCAAACTAGTAATTTATTGGTGCTCATAAGCATAAGTAAACAGACATGGTACCACATAAAGGAATTTTAAAAACACTTCTAAACTTTTGGTATAGCTTTGAATATGGACCAGTATACTTTGGCAATGGACCTCATAGATTTCCAATATGCTTCTAAATCTCATGGTTCTCTTCAGACACAAGTTAAGTTTGGATTTAACTTTTGAATTTTAGGAATTTAACAAAGATTCTTCGGAAGCTGGAAAAGGCCAACATTACTTAAGCTATACTTACCACGAACATAAAGTACTGCTACTAAAAAGAAAATGGTGGGCAGCAGTCAACCGAGTGCTAGTTTCATTTTTTAGATTGCTTTAGTATTTTTTGAAAAGAATTGACCTCAGATAGCGGGCTACAGAAGCTTGTTATCTCCGAGGAGTTTTAACTTCGTAACCTTTCGTGGACTAAAGGGACTCAGGTCTCAAGAAACTGGACGGCATTATCAGATCGGACCTTATGTGTTCTCTATTAGAAATAGCTGGTTCTGAGAGCCTGCATCATACGGGACGTTTACTTTTAAGAATGCCTCTATTCCCGGCTTCAGATCGTACTTACATATTTCGAGAGGGCTCTGTTAACAAATGGGTACTCACTGCTAGGGCAGCATGTAAGAATGTGCTGATTGCCAAGGATGAGATTTTACGTTACATTAAATTAAAATTCTATACTGTTGGAAACATACAAGATTAGGAGTTCCTAGATCCTAGAAAATATTAATGGCTAAGGAAATAGAGAACTCAGGAAAGGGATCCACCTCCAAGAAACTCTTTCAGTAAAACAGAATTAAGTGCCCTGTCTTAGGAAACAGTTTCCTATTGATCAGGAACTGGGACATCATACACTGCTTCTTTGGAGATTAAAGTGCAGGCTATGAAATGGCATAAAAAACAATGCATAAAATAGTGCAATCTCAAGGTGCCATGGTTTTTGCTTCTTACACATAGCCTCTGTTCATATGTCCATCTTTTCTAAAACAAACAAAAAAAAATCCAGCTATAGTGACACCTTTAGCTTATTTATTTAGGCATGACTCATACTGTTTTACCCACCTTCGGGGCTACATAGAATATTTCAACATTTTAACAAGTAGAATAATAGCGCATACACCTTGAACTACTAAATAGAGATTAAGGCAAGCCCCTGTAAAGTTCGGTATTCCAAAAAACACGTCTTACCAAAAAACAAAAACAAAAACAAAGCTGCTTCTAAAACCAGTGGCTTTAGACCAGATGGCAGCCCGACAGTTTTTAAAGCAGTCTGATGCATTACTGGTGCTCCGTCTGCGTCTGCCTCGGCACTTCCAGGCTCTGCACAGCGACAAAGGAGCTTGAAAAGCAGCAGGTTCTGTAACCTCACATCCTGAAAGAATCCGTATTTCGATTACGTGAAAACTGAGCCGAGTCCATGTGGGAGAGACGCGGGGGGCCCTGGGTGGGTGAGGCGGGGGCAAGCCCCTGTCGTTCCTGACGCCTCTTCCCCTCGGGTCTGTGTTGCGGGTGCTGCGCCATAATCGAGTCACTAGTGGGAGTGACCCGCTGACACAGAGAAGCCTCCTCTGAGAAACAGCCAAGGAAGAGGACCCAAGGAACTCATGGCATCTCGTTCCAGGACATGACGCTCCCATCTGGCACTGAAGCCACCAGTGTCTAACCCCGGGCAAGGGCAAGACGCTTCCCATTCGGGAGGCTAGTCTGCCACCTTCCCGTGGCATGTCGGTTTTAGCGGATGCAAATAATTTGTGATCCGTCGAACCCTAAATGCCACTATGCTATCCCAAAGCAAGTGTAACAGCTATCAAATCAGTCAAGGCCACAGCCTAACGTGTTTTTAGCAAGATGTCTTAAGTCAGATTTAAGACTTAAGCAGACAACTGAACTATAGTGCTTTCTTCTCCTACTCTTCTGGAACATTCGTGCATTAACAAGTGCAACTCAGGGGCCTTCTGGACAGTTACGAGCGAATCCTATGTAAGTGTGGATTTTGAAACAGAAAATCTACCTTCTGATAGTGTGGATGCTTCCTATGAAAGCCAAATACTCACGCTAACTAATGGAAGATTCTACATACATTTAGGGTGTCTAGGTGTGGTTTAAAAAGAAACCCAGGAACTTTAAATAATTCATGAACAACTGCTCATCATCTGAGGTTGTATCCCTTTGATGCGTAAGGATCCTACTTTGTAAACCTGTAAACATGTTACCTGGTTACTCTAAATAGAGTCTTCCTATTACCGGGAAGGCAGACTATTCACAGCCATGAGTATTCCAGTAGGCCTGCTCCAGAGTTAGGACAATATGGCTAAATCCTAGGATTACAAAAATGACACCTGCCGAGAAAACGAGTTCCAGACGGGGACTTTTATGGATGACCTTGGCTGACAAATGTTTTTTGGAAATTGTTTATTTTAAAATTACCTTCCCAACAAACCATGAAACACTTGGATGTTATATGGTATTTTGTTTTTTTTGTTTTTTCATTGAAAACGTACTACATTGTAAATGGAGTTTCCAAGTCAGACAGAGAATTGATCAAAATCTAAGGACAGTATTATGGAAGGACAATCTTAAAAATGGGTAAGAAAAAGTTTTGTTTGGTGAGGTTAAAGGATGCATAACCGTGTCATGGTGGACGGGTGAAAAGGGCGGTAACCTTGTGCTTTTATTCAACTAAGGTACTTACCAAAACCTTAGGTTTTATGCAGGTGTCAAACTCCCACCTGGACAGGGATAATTTTCTATATTACACCTAAAACTATTTTAAAGAACTGAAGCCCAAGGCAACAGTTGTTGAGAGTTGATAGAAGAACTTATCAGTCAAATAATAACTACATAATTTAGTACATTAACATAAAACGAGGACAGTAATAGTTGAAGGTCTCAAAAATATACAAGTGGGGAAAGAAACCACTGTACACAATTTGGAGGTTGTTAAAGTGACCGCTTAGCAGTGTGAACAGTGCAAGACATGCTTTTCCAGTTACACGCTCAAAACAGGAGTGCAAACGAAATTAAAGCTTTTGTTTAAAGTTGTAGGATAGGAAAGCTTGAAATTAATATTTAAAAGCTTCCCTCATGTCATCCCCCAGAAATGAAATGATCAAAATGCTTTTTCATAGTAGGATGTTCTTCAATGAGCTTTCTTTCAATGGCAAAACTGCATCCCACAAGCTGGGTCCCCTGCTCACACCCATGGTGATCACCACACTGATCCATGAACACACACGGTGGCGAGTAAGGGCCACTACCAGTCTCCAGAGGTCCGACGCTGACAGAGCCTTGGAGTTTGGGGTTCTGCCTTGGCCACTGTACCTGAACCCTACAGAGAACAGAGAAAGCGATGGGCTTTGATGCTCCCCATTCCCCTAAAACTGGAGGACAAATGGACTGACTAATTCTTCCCTGGAGGCAAGCTGTTGTGGTGGTGGAAGATGTTAGGTGCTCAAATAAACTAACGCTGCTCTAGAAAGTGGAGAAGTAGAGAGGTTCAAGGTCAATACCAGTGCAAGAGCTTTTTACGTGAGCTGACTAGGCGATGTGTGCATGCATCCATGCAAATGCAGGGCGTGGTCCCAGAAGAGAACTGAAAACGTGTAGAACAACTGGATAAGTCCCTTGCCAGTAGTTTATAAAAATATATAGTCAATACTGTAGAGGCCCCTCCTATAGTCAACACTATGGAAGTCCGTTTTAGTTACCCATTACTTCGATACCAAAAAGCATTTACTACTTTTCAGACATTCCAGACAAAGGTCACTTATAACAAAAAGTCAACTTTTTCTTTTTTTTTTTTTTTTAAAACAAGATACTGTCCATTTAAAAAGTAGGTCTTTTCTTTCAAGTGAAACAGGACATTTTCTGTATTCAACTTAACTTCTAGTCTGTCCAGACTGGTTTGTTTCAGATCCTTCTGTAATGTGCATATATGCAAGAACAAATAAACTTACTTTAAACATTATCTGCACAGAAAAAAAGTTAACTCCTCAAAACATGATAGGACAGGTCTGGTTAGTACAAATCTATTGCAAAGTAAAAAGGTTCTGTGCATCAGTTCAACGAGGAGAAGCGGGAGAAGACTGTCCCAACCGTGAGAGTTCAAGCTGAAGTTGCGTTCTTTCTGAAAGACCAGAAGCCTCCGGGGCGTCCTGAGGTACGTAACTGCTTCAGCCACGTCTTCCTCTGGAGCCAGGACCCGCCCCCCCTTTACTTTCTATTCCGGAGACGCTTAGATTTCCTAAGGGAGTCTATGGCTTCAGCTGCCTTTTTCCGTTTCCGAGGAGACTCTTCGTTCTGCCCAGCCCCTGAGGAGTTTCCCACCGCGCTCTCCATGACTTCCCGCAGTTTGCGCTCCAGCTCCGCCAACCGCGCGTTCTGTTCGCCTATGATCTGGGTCTGCTCTAGCAGTTTCTGGTCCTGGTCTTGAAGCTGCTTCTGCTGTTCCTGCACTTTGGTGCGAAGCTCGGAAATTTCACGCCTGAGAACAGTCACACCGGCACCGTTTGTCTTAACCTGCTGCTGGAGTTTGGTTACCTCTTGTCGTGAAGGGTTTTGCTTGGAGAAGAGCTGCATTGTTGTGAGGGCTGCAGAAGGTCCCGGAACTGCAGAGAAATGGTTTTAAATGGTCATTAATCACTTAAAATGTCTCACCATCGGTAATACTTCATTAAACTTCTTTTGAAACGGAATATCCTTCTAATATCACTTCCAATAATGTTCTCTTGGCAATCTACTCGGTTGAATGGATTAATCAGACACCCCTGTCTTAACAGTAAATGAGCCTGAATTCTGATGCTTGGGTTCATGTGGCAATGGGTGGATTGCCAGGAAATGGAGAAGGGCATTTAGTGGCATCAACTTGTGCTAAAATATTGGAGAACATTTTTAAGACCTACTAAGAAAACACAAGCAGTAAAACTAGAATAGAACTATTTTCTATCTTCTTTCACACGAGCAATTGTAAACATTCGAGTTAGAAGTACAGGTCTATCATGTTTTTAAGTTCTCTCTGCACTTAGTTCTATACAAGAGCTTCCACGTTAGCCAAACAAGGATACCATCAAAAAGTGGGTTACATCACACACAATGATCATGAAGAGGTTCCGAGGTGATGCAGGAAGACGGCTTTGGAATCATTCTGTTTTAGGAATGCTACAAGTTAACATCGGCATAAAAATCGCTATCACAAACCAATAACGTCCTTTTTAAAAAATGTTATTTCTCCTTTTTTAAATAATTTTTTTTTTTTTTTAAGATTTAATTCATTTGACAGAGAGAGACACAGCAAGAAAGGGAACACAAGCAGGGGGAGTGGGAGACGGAGAAGCAGGCTTCCCGCCGAGCAGGGAGCCCGATGCGGGGCTCGATCCCAGGACCCCGGGATCATGACCTGAGCCGAAGGCAGATGCTTAACGACTGAGCCACCCAGGCACCCTAAAAAATGTTATCTCTTAAAGGTTTTCTAAAAGCACTAGATGGATCCATTCCCACCCTAAACCCGTCCTAACAATTTTCTCCTTGTACATACATATAAATATTTTCCTGGACTGACGCATTGTTCCTTCTCTCTCTGCGTACCTTTATCTAATTTCCACTAACACATCCATAATAATAAATTACTGATGTATGAATGCTGAGATGCCACAGGCTTTATGATTCAATTACAGACAGCCACTCGGTCACCCCACTGAGCATTTCTAGGGAGCTAACTCATCCAAACAGAACAAAATGTCTTACTAAAAAAGGTTTTCTGATGTAAAGTATTTGCAAAGGTTGAAGATATTTTGACCAATTTGGGCACAAATCTCTCAGATTGGATATACTTTTTTTTTTTTAAGATTTTATTTATTTATTTGAGAGAGAGAGAGAAGGAGAGACAGTGAAAGAGTACAAGCGGGGAGGAGAGGGAGAAGCGGGCTCCCCGCGGAGCAAGGAGCCCGATGCAGGGCTCGATCCCAGGACGCTGGGACCATGACCCGAGCCAAAATGCAGACGCCCAACTGACTGAGCCACCCAGGTGCCCCTCGGATTGGATATACTTTTGCAAAAGAGCTACCACAGAAGCAGTGATAGGATTCAAAACAGCCTTACGTACCCTGTCTTTTCAAGTAGCGGCCAGACCCTCTAGGGGCTGAAATAATTAAGTGAATATTCCATGAAGAAGTTTTTGGGTTTTATCTGGTATATTATAATTCTGTTTTAGCAAAATGGGTATTAACTAGTCAGAAACATCAACAAACAAACAAACAAAAAAACCCTACATATATATTTGTGGCTTTTTACCCAGAAATTCTAATCCATTTATTGTATGCCAATAGTTATGGATATGTACAAAGATGTAGCCAGGGGATTGTTCTTCAAAGTGTAAATACTGCAAATGTGCCTAACAGCAGTGGATCAGTTACACAAGTTACGGTCTGTAATCATTGTGTCCTTAAAAATCATGTTGCAGATACCATTTACAGACACAGAAAAGGGCTCGATGTATGATTAAGTGTTGGGGTGGGGAGCAAGTTAGGGAACTGTGTCTGAATGTTACTTTACACTGAACACATCAACAAGAGTACCTGGAGGAGAGCCCATGAGTCTTCCGGACACATCTGATCCTGGTAACTTCCTCTTCAGAATGGGCACGATCTTCTCGTCAAAGTACTCCATCGCCATGGAGGAGATGTCCCTTAACTCTTGAAGTACTTCATGGGCGCGTTGAGGGGCTCTGGTAGAATTGACGTATCTCAACACACGATAAATCTCATCAATCACCTAAAACAAGGAGTTCTCATTAGCACTTTCCATTGTGTTTAAAAGAAAATGACTCACCACTTCTTGTGCGATCCTGGTAAAGACCTCCGGGTGACGGGACTGAGGTGCTGGCCACTGGTGACAAGACGTCTGTCCCACACGGCTTTGGGCTTGTTATAATCCTTCACGGGCCTCACATGCACATTTATTAAAATTTTCTGTATCGGGTGCTGGGGCTAAGGACTCAGGATGAATAAAACACAGCTTTTGCTCTGAGGGAAAGCACAGGGCAACAGTGTAAATGGGTGATAGGAAAAGGGTGTACAAGCCGCTACAGAAACTGACCCAAACACACTTCACTGCAGCCGGACGGTTTCCCAAAGCCCCGGGGACCCGACCTGACATCCTGCTCCAGGACCAGGCGCTCTGTCCTCGGAGCTTTTGTTTCTCTTAAACCTGCTATGGATTGGGATGAGGTCTCCTCGGGTCCCCCTCTCCCACTATCAGCAAAGGGTAGAGAGAGACCCCTTTTCACTTTAAGGGTAATCGCAGTGGGGAAGCACAGGCATGACGTATGTGGGGAAGAAACAGTCCTGACCGTCCCGCGTCCTGACCCTCTTGCTGGGATGGTGGCCGGACCTTCCCTAGGCATTCTGGGCCTCAGCTCTAGTCCTTAGAACTAACTGATAAACTGCACCTGTAAACTAACTTGTACCATATTCTTATCTTTACTGATTTTGGTCTTTGAGGTAATGGTGTGAAAGGTCTCTCTCTCCATTTGCTCAGGTCTTCCATTAGGAAAGGTAACATTTCTAAATTTTACTATAGAGAGATTATGTTAGTCAAGTGGGATAATCCACGTTTTCAATAAAATTAAAACCATTCTCTTTTCTCTGTCCCAAAGTTATACTTGAAGGACAAGATGAAAGAGAGACGACCCGCACGGCTTCTACCATTCAGAGTGACTCAGGGCAGCAACGGCGCATGTTAGGAAAGCGTGGTGTCGACCCAATTTTCAAAATATTTCACCCTCCAAGTGGGTTTAATTACTTTCCGAAAATTACTTTAGCAGCAAGAATGTAAGGGCATGATGAGTCTTGAGGTCTACTGGAAAGATCACAGGTCTTAGGCTGGTCACTTAAACTTTTTTTTTTTTTAATAGCTTGTGATTTTCTACTTCTCAGCAGATCATTCCTGCAATCTTTTTTATTTTTTTTAAGTTTTATTTATTCTTTTTAATAATGTCTACCCAGCATGAGCTTCGAACCCAGGGCCCAGAGATTGCTCACTCCACTGACTGAGCCAGCCGGGCGCCCCTGGTCACTCAAACTCTTAATGGCTGTTTCTACAGCTTTCAAATATGCTGCATGCTGAATCCCTCCTGAGCCTGAGGTGCTAAGATAATATTTTACAAAGTATGCTACTGACCATATACGGTGCGTCTCTCATGCTCGCAGCTCGTGTTAAAACTGGCAGCGTCATAATACACGACATACCATGGACACGACTGAAGACTGAAGAGGGCAAGAGGGGTGGGGGTGGGGGGCTGCGCCAGGAAAGTGGGGGTGGGGAGACAAGAGGGGCAGGGCGGGGACACCGAGAAAGGGGGCAGCGGCAAGAACAGATTGATTTTTCTTCTTTCATTTTAAAGGTTCATGGACCGTATATATTTATTTGGGGGCAAGCACAGTAAAAAGAAATGTTCCCAAATAATACTGATTTCTGAGAACATCTTCATATTAAAATCAATTTTAAAAGAAACAAAAAACACAACATTTTGGAAACATTTGATAAACTCGAAAGAATATTTCTCAAAATAAGGGACCCATGTTCTTCAAAAGTGAAGATCAAGCTACACAAAGGAAGCCGAGGAAGTATTCCACATTAAGGAGGTTACAGAGTCTAGTGTGACCGCGGCCTGGGGTCCGGACTGAGAAAAAGAGCAGCTGGGACGGGTATCACTGATCAGTGGTGGAATCTGATGCGGGCTGTCAGTGAGAGAGGCCGTCGTACCAAAGTTACATTTCCTGATTTGGTAACTGCGCTGTGGCTCAGTTAGAGAATGCCCTTTCTCAGACAATACATCAGAATATTTAAGAATAAAGGTTCACAGTATCTCCACTATTTTGAAATGGTTCAGAAAAAATAAAACACATACTTACAGAAGAATAAAAGCAAGCAGGACAAAAGGTAAATAACTGTGGGATCTGGATAAAAGATATATGGGAGATCCTTGTACTATTCTTGCAATTTTTGTGCAAATGTGAAATTGCATCAAGACAAGAAGTTACCCAAAAAAGAGAAGAGATTACAAAATGCGATCCTGCCATTCCTCCTGCTGCCTCCCTGGCCAAAACATTAAAAACCAACCAACAAAACCTAATTCTTTCAGTTTGCTCACGGAAATCTAGCCTCGTGACCTTGCATAATCATTTACACTGAAAATCCTGACTTTTAGGAATCACTGCGTTTCAATAAGCACAGAAGCGTTACCAGGGCCTACTGGTAATGCCTTAATTAAGAACAGGGGCTCACCATGTCTTTCTTCATCATATTTCCCAGAACAGTCAGCTGGCCTCTGTTTATGTGTGCTTTAGTATGTGTGAACTGCTAACACGGACCCTGAATTTACTGTAAAAAGTGTGACTTCTGTCAGATGACTTGAAAAATGTCCAGAGGAGTGAACCGGGCACCTACAGCCTCTTAGTTCTAACAGAAGATGGACGGAATATCAATACAGTGGTCAAGGGTCGGCAGTTGGGGCCCTGCTGGACCTGCAGCTGTTTCTGTCAATAAAGTTTTACTGGAACACACGCACACGTGTGTTTCCCACATGCTGTCCACGGCTTTTCTCAGAGCTGAGGAGCCAAGAGAGACCACGTGGCCTGCAGAGCCAGAAATGCGTACTACCTGGCCCTTTACAGAAAAAGTTTGCTGATCCCTTTCTAGGATTGACAATGGCAAACTCCTGATGGGTCTGAATTCTTCAGACCGATTTTCTTTTAATGTCCTTGTGATCGTATGGTCTCTGTGTCCAGAGACCCCATTTTAACCCCTTTGGTGAGTAGGACCTAGTTTTTCACTCAGCAGGAGGGCAATGACCCAGCCATCTGGAGTTGGAAGGGGACCTGTAGGTTTAAATACAGAGCCGCGCCCCACCCTGCCATGTTAGCCCCACTCTCGGCGGTGCTTGGAGCTTTCTGGAGGCTGGCTGTGCCTAGGACGCTGCCTCCCAGCTTCCCCGTGGCCCGTCCAGGCTTTAACTTCCTCAGATCCCTAAACCAGCCACCACTGGCCCGTGTACTTTCCAGCTTCCAGAAGTTTGTTGCTGTTGCTCTCCTGACTTCCCTCTTGGGGTCTCTGTTTTTTCTTTTTAAAATTAGCTTCTTTACTATAAGAGCAAGCTTTGGGAGGAATTCGAGGTAATATGTATTTAATCTGCCATCTTTAACCTACCACTTGATTTTAGGAGTAAATTTGACTACTATTTAAGAGAATAATTTTATTTTTATTTTTAGAGGGGAGAGGAGCAGAGGGAGAGAGAATCTCAAGTAGGCTCTGCGCTGAGCGTGGAGCCCGACATGGGGCTCGATCCCACAACCCTGAGATCATGACCTGAGCGAAAACCAAGAGTCGGACGCTTAAGCAACTAAGCCACCCACACGCCCCAGAGAATAATTTTAAAAATGCTTTTTTCCCCAAGTATTAGTTTAAAATTCCAAAATTCTGATATATATCAGGCATTCTAATTTAAACTATAATGGTGATATTACCCAGGTTCACTTAAGTAGCTTGTGAAAGAGTAATCTGCGAATGAAATGTTTACTATAGATATGAATTCTACCAAAACTATAAAAATGAGTTCTTTTATGAAGTATGAAAATTCCTGAATTTATTTTTTAAAAGAGTTTACTTATTTATTTGAGGAGAGAGAGACACAGCGAGAGGTGGAACACAAGCAGGGGGAGTGGGAGAAGCAGGCTTCCCGCTGAGCAGGGAGCCTGATACAGGGCTCGATCCCAGGACCCTGGGATCATGACCTGAGCCGAAGGCAGACACCCAACCAACTGAGCCACCCAGGCGTCCTGAAAGTTCCTAAAGTTTTAAGTAAAATCCAGAAGCAGGATCTGGGGGAACACAAGAATAATCTAATATAGAAACTATATGCCAGATCAAGATTATATCTTACACTGAGAAAGAATTATAGTATTATTTTTTAAAGATCTTACTTATTTGTGACAGAGAGAGAGAGAGAGACAGCACAAGCAGGGGGAGTGACAGGCAGGGGGAGAAGCAGACTCCCTGCTGAGCAGGGAGCCCGATGCGGGGCTCAATCCCAGGACCCTGAAATCATGACCTGAGCCGGAGGCAGACACTTAACCAAATAAGCCACCCAGGCGCCCCAGAGCAGGCGACTCTTGATCTTGGGGTCATGAGTTGGGCTCAGAGATTACTTAAACAAAACAACAACAAAAAAAGTAATATTCTGAGTATACAGTGTTTGTCGTTTTAGGCAAAATATAAGCTATAAAGATGGCAATTTTAAGAAACAAAGTAATCCAAGATGAATTAAGTATGATAATAAAAACAAAAATCATTTCTGTTTTTTTTTTTGTGGGGTTGTTTTTTAGGTTTACAGGAGAAAACTTCGGGTGAGTTTTTGTGAAGACACAGGTACTATTAAGGAAAAATCAGCAGGCTGGTGCAAAACTTCTGTCAAACCCATCTGCCGCTGAGCCTCAGTTTTCTTACCAAGGGAACAGGACTCGACCTCCCATGGCCGTGTGGAAAGCAAAGGAGTCAGTGAACGTGAACGTGCTCTGAGGATCAGAAGAAGTATTTCATGCATCTAAGAAGAGAGCAGTGACGAGGGAGAGGGACAGGTACAGGTGTGCGTTACAGGTGAGGCTGGGCACGAAATTCCTTCCCAACGGCTCTGCCACTGAGGGCACTGAGAGCACAGAAAGGGCTGCAGTGAGGAGCTGTCCTGAGGTGATGCCCCGGGGTGGGGGGGGGCTGCTGCACCTCGACAACTTAAGACTTCTCCATGGCACCTCGGTTTTGTTATTTTGGTCCTAAAATTAACGTGAAAAGTCAGAAACCTGCAAAAAAACAGCAGGACTCAACGGGATTTATTTGTTCAGATAGTCAAGACCAGCACTCCAATCACGCGATCCTGATCACCTAGAAAGACCAGCCCATTCTGTAAAGGCCAGGTACTAAGCATCTCAGGCTCCGTGGGCTGTGTGGACTGAGCACACATTACTCCACTCTGGTTCGTAACGACTGGCTGAAGTGTTTCTGAGGTTATGAAAACTGTAAGATGTTTCTTATGTATTCACATTCCTAACAATGAGATATGCGACAAAAACCATGAGGCTGTAGGGGACAACCTACACTAGTTCCATGAACTTCCCAGGAACACGAGAGATGAGGCCTATACATTAGATCTGGATGCACTCTGGAGTAAGAATCAGAATTGCCTTTTAAAGTTAAGTACCCCACAGAAGAATCTGTAGCTAACAGGAGGAAAGTGAGATATACTAAAGAATATTTCAAATAAAATAAGAAACAGGATCCCCCTCCCCATAAACATCACAGAAAACTGAAAATGGAGGAAGTATATACAAAATATTGCCAGTGTTAAGTATCTACAGAAATAACAAAAAGAGAACATTCTGGTTTTTCTAGAACTGACTAGTCCTGACCATGTTAAGGGAATCTTGCTAGTATCGACTAAGCAGCAGAAGGACCTTTCAATCCATCTCTGCCTCTTCTAAATACGATACAGATTTCATCTGAATTTACTCTCAATTCAAGAAGCAAGATACCACATGCACTGAGGTAGTATCCTGAGTAGCATGTGGAGTGCTGGGGCTTTTGTGAACTTGGGGACAGTAAATACGCCAGGACAGACTGACTTCTGTGTTCAACAGCACTATTCCTGTGCTGCTACCCAGTTAACTGTCAATTCTTGCCGAATCTGGAAGTATTTGTCTTTATGAAAGGCTTCTCACACAAAACGAAAACCAGCTTGTCCCTCCCACTCCACCTCCCCCAAATGAGAACAATCTTGAAGGCAGGGACAGTACCCATCTCGTTTGCTGTCGATCTTAAACAAAGAGCAAAAGCCCAAAATGTGTTTTTCAGCAGGAATTCTGTTATTTCTTCCTATTTATGGAAATAGTTTGTTAACTGGAGGTGAGGATGAATTCCTAACAAGCTTTTCTAAAGAACAGCAGAGCTTCTACTGTGTGTTTCATAATGAGACTTTTCAACATGAAGATCAAGTATGACACGGATTTATATCAGTTACTGTACAGGAGCTAAACAAATCCATTCACAGGAACTCATTCCACAAAGGCGGGTACAATTCTGACATTTAAACAATCGCTTTATAATAATTTAAGTTTAAGCAGCACAATCCAGCTGTTTTGGGTAGGCGGTTCTATTTTACCTTTCCTGGGATGAAGCAACAGAGATTGGAATCCACATATTTCATGAAAGTCATGTTTAACAGTGAGAGCCTTGTTTCCACAGCAGCAAGGATGTCCGCGTGACGAGCTAACGAGTGGTTTCTTCTTTCCGACTCCCTCCTAGAATAAGAAAAAAAGCAAGCATGAAGGAAATACTGTGAACTAAATGGTAAGGAGTGAAAATGCCTTAATGGGATTTCTAACAGTTTAACATTTACCTGTTAATTTGATACCTACGATTGGGTCATAATTTAACTGTAACCATCAATGAATCGCTATGTCCAGAAATTCCTGCCAAGGACTAGTACTAACTAATCAATTATTGGGGGGGGGGAATCAGGTTTTTTTTTTTTTCTTGTTTTTTGGCTGTATCAAGCCTAATGGCCATATGAATCAAAAAGAAAAGAGAAATGAAAGAATTACACAAGGACATGTGGATAAGGGACTGTATGTTTTTACCCATAAAATCAGCTCACTTAAAGTTTTAGTTAACAAAAAAATTTTTTAAAGATTTATTTACTTTAGAGAGAGAAAGAGAGACAGAGAGTGGGGCTAGGGGCAGAGAGAGGGAGAGACAGTCTCAAGCAGACTCTGCACTGAGCGGGGAGCCTGACGTGCGACTGGATCTCATGACCCTGAGATCATGACCTGAGCCGAAACCGAGTCAGTGGCTTAACTGACTGAGCCACTCAGGCAACCCTAGCTCATTTAAACTTTTAAAGTTTTATTGAGAAATAATTCACATATAAAATTCACTTTTAATGTGTATAAATAACTTAGTTTTTTAGTACATATGGAGTTGTGCACCCACTACCACCATTTAATTTCTAAACATTTTCACAACCACGCAATGAAAGCCATAACTATTATCAGTCCCTCCCATTCCCCAGTGCTTAGCGACCACTAGTGTACTTTCTGTTTCTAGGGATCTGCCCCTTCTGGGCAGGGCAAGTAACTGGAGTCGTATGGTATGTGGCATTTTGTGTCCGTCTTCTTTCACAGAGCACAGCTCTCAAGGCTCATCCATGTTGGAGCGTGTGTCAAGGACTCCATTCTACTGCGCACTGACGTTCTGACATATAGACATAGCAGTATTCTGATGATTCGATCATCAGGTGATAACTTCAGGGCTGTTTCCACTTTCTGGCTATTATGAATAATGCTGCACAGAACACTCATGTACAAGTTTTTTGTGAGGCTGTATTTCCACTTCTTTTGCTATACGCCTAGGAGTGAAATTGCTGGATCATTTGGTAATTCTACATTTAGCCTTTTGAGGAACAAAGTGTTTTCTAAAGTGGCAGAACCACTATACAATCCCACCAGTAATTTATGATGGTTCCGATTTGCCCACATCTTTCCCAAGACGACTTCTTTACTCTGGCCACCCTAGTGGGTGTTCAGTGCTATCTCAGTGTTTTGATCTGCCACGCCCCGGGGATCGTGGATGTTGAGCATTCTGTATGTGCTTGCTGGCCTTCAGTTTCTCTTCTTTGGAGAAATGTCTTTGCCCACCCTTAAACCTGGTTCTGTGTCTTTTTATTGTTGAGTTCTAAGAGTTCCTCACACGATCTAGATCCAGGTCCCTCACTGGAGACTGGAGCTGTAACTATTTTCTCCCCTTGTGTGTGGTGTCCCTTTGCTGTCTTGATGTCGTCCTTGGCGGCACAGAAGTTTAAATTCTGATGAAGTCTAGTCTGCCTCCTCTTTTCTTTTGTTACTCGTGCTTTTGGTGTCATAGCCAAGAAACCACTGCCTAATCCAAGTTCATGGAGGTCAGTACTGTTTCCACGTGAGGGTTTACAGTATAGCCCTGACACTCACCTTTGATCTATATAGTCTACTTTGAGTTAATTTTTGTGGATGGAATGAGGAGGGAGCCCAACTTCATTCTTTCGCATACAGATACCCAGCTATCCCAGCGTCACTGGTGGAAAGCATCATTCTTTCCCCAGTGAGTTGTCTTGGCATCCTGGTTGAAAATCAACTAACTAAATATGTAAGGATTTCTTGTCCACACTCTCTGTTCTATTCATCGGTCCTACACGTCTGTCTTCATGTCTGCACCACGCTGGTTCGATTACAGCAGCTCTGCAGTAAGTTTTGATATTGGAAAGTGGTACCAACTTTGTTGCTCTTTTTCAAGACTGTTTTGATTATTCTGAGTCTTCTGTATGTCCACAGGCATCGTAGGGTGGGCCTGTCGTTTTCCACAAAAACCACAGCTAGGATTCTGACAGGGATTGCACTGAATGTGCACATCAACTTGGGGAGAACTGCCACTTTCAGAGCAAAAAGTCTTCCAATCCACGACCATGAAATGTCTTTCCACTGAAGTCTCCTTAAATTTCTTTTACCAATGTTCTGTAGTTTTCAGCAGACAAATCTTCTGTTATCGTCACTACCAAGCATCTTATTCTTTTTGATGGTACTATACAAGGGATGGTCTTTTTTTTTTTAAGTAAGCTCCATGCCTAACATGGAGCTTGAACTCATGACCCCAAGATCAAGAATCACATGTTCCTGTGGTCGAGCCAGCCAGGCCCCCGCCGCCCCCCTTTGAGTGTAGCTGACACACAATGCTCTATTAGTTTCAGGTGTGCAACGTAGTCAGCATCTCTAGCTTATGCCCTGCTCACCCCAAGTGTAGCTGCCATCTGTTGCCACACAGTGTGATTATACTACCACGGACCAGATGACCTACGCTGTACTTTCCATCCCCGTGATTTCTTCACTCCACCTGGAAGCCTGTACCTCCTACTCCCCTTTGCCCACCCTGCCCATCCCTGCACCCTGGAATTGTCCTAACCTGCTTTTGGATCATTTATTGCTAGTATATACAATTACCCAACTCCTTTTTGTCTATTGATCTTGCATCCTGTATCCCTATGGAGCTTATTTATGAGCTCTAACAATTAGAGGACTCCTTGTGTATACAACCACATATATATGAGATCTTGTCATCTATGAAGAGAGAACACAAACTCTTCCTTTCCAATCTGGAAGCCTTTTATTTCATTTTCTTGCCTAACTGCCCTGGCTAGAAACTCCGGTATAATGTTGAATAGAAATGGTGAGAATGGGCGAACCATAGTCAAAATCACTTATTGTGATCTGGGTACCCTTCCCTCTAAAAAGCTGGAAACGATTTAATATGTACACTTACCCAAATCAAAAAACAAAACTCAAAACAATAGGGGTGCCCCATGTTGGCTATAGCCATTACTTAAAAAAAAAAAAAGAAAAAAACAACCAAGAAACAAAGAAAATTCCCATTGTAAATTATTGCCACCACTAGCCACAACATACCTTGGAAGTTGTGCTTTAACTTGTTTCTGACATAGATTGTGGTATCTCTCCACTTTTAGAAATCCCTGATTCAACATTCTCTGGCAGACCAAGTCCATTCTTTTACAAACCTACAGGGAAAAAGGAGGAGAAGGAAGAATTTTAATAGGTAAAACCCAAATAAATAAGTTAACTTAGACTCCTGTTAGAGGAAAGTTCTGTGTCAGTACTGTTGCCCAGTTGGCTATCTGAACCTCTACATCTGTACATACGGAATATGTCTATATATATGAGGTGAACCCCTCATGCTTTATGACTCTTGCAGCATTACCTTAAGAAATTAATACTATGTGTAGGCAAGGAATACTTTACCTTTATTTTAGGTATTGGCTGAATGTTCTGAATGTACCCCACTACTGTGGTCAGAAAATGTAGTCCTGAAGATCAGTAAAACAATATATTCAGAAGGGTTTTAATGGTTTGAATAAAGAAAATTCTCCGTTAGCTCAAAATGTGCATTCAAACTTAAGCTCAACCTCTCATAAAGTTTATATGATCTATAACCAGAATGTGAATTCTCTAGTCAGGGTTAACTACAGAGAGTTACTCTATACTAGACACTGTCATATCCTCCATAATATAAAATATTTTAACATATGTAGCAGAATCTCAACTATTTTGAATCTTTAAGGAATAGTATGTTTTTATACAGTAAAAGCACAGGATCATAAGTCACCACACCTGAATTTGAACCTAACTTTTATACATTCTTAAGCAAGTCAGCTACCTGAAAGACTGAGTCAGCCTTCTGTATAATGTGGATAGTATCTAATTAATAGGGACGTCATTAGGATTAAATGAAACAATACACCCTAAAATCACTCTGATAAACCCTAAAGTGCTCTGTAAAAATTATGTTAAATAAATGGTTTAACTTAGTACTAACTGGAACACTTTGTTCCATAGGTGCTCTATTTCTGAGACATGCCAGCATCTTTTTTATCTTAATGAAACCCAGTGCACAAAATACTTTTGTTCTTTGATCCCTGAGAATTTTGCAGTGACTCAGAGGCATCAACTTGAATGTTAGTTCTCACTGTACAGGTGTGGATGTTGAAAGTGCAAGACATTGAGAAAACTCTAGATCAAGGCCAAGGTGATTAGGCGGTGGTTGTCATATGCTTCTATCTCTCATAGCATCCAAGCACAAACGCTTGACAAATACTTGCTGAAACTGAAATGTTGATGAAACTCTTGATATGTCTGCTTTCTCCTGAGAATACACAGACATAAATTCTGGCAAACTGGATTGAAGCTAACGAAGGTTGTAATACTCTAGTATTAAATACAATGTACTTCCTAAATCATAGCATGACAAATGAAAGATATTAAGGAAAACATTTCTTTTCCAGTTGAAAATAAATAAAAACATAGCAAACTTTAAGTAAGGAAACTAAGAGTAATTCCTAATAAATGATATTTTAGAAATTGGTGGGATCTATTTTTAACTAAACTAAACCAGTTGTCAACATATGCTCAATGTCTATTAAAAAACAACAAAACCAATACATATCAACATCAATAATTTGTAAAGTTTATTTATGCTTTATAGTAATCACTACACCCATCGTGGGGTTCGAACCCATGACCCCGAAATCAAGAGTTAGAGTTGCACACTCCTCTGCCTGAGCCAGCCAGGTGCCCAGGCGCCTGGGTGGCTCAGTCGTTGAGCGTCTGCCTTCAGCTCAGGTCGTGATCCCGGGGTCCTGGGATCGAGCCCCGCATCGGGCTCCCTGCTCAGGCAGAAAGCCTGCTTCTCCCTCTCCCACTCCCCCTGCTTGTGTTCCCTCTCTCGCTGTGTCTCTGTCAAATAAATAAATAAAATATTAAAAAAAAAAATAACTTTTAAAGGAAAAATAACTTCTAAAAATACTTAAGAGTTACATTTTTGCAAATCTCTTTGATATGTAGTTTTATAGAACAGAAATGGACGGCCATATCTGCTTCTGCACTCAGTCTACTTAAGTATTACCTTAGAAAGTTCTAGAAAACATAACACACAAGCACACATTTCATGAGCTGTCGGTGTGCTGACATCATCACATGTCACAGGGCTCCCGGAAAGCTCCACTATCCACTTGTGAAAGGCAGAAATAGCAACTTAGAACTATAATGGAAATACTTTAGATCTTACAGACTCCCTGAAAGGGTCTTGGGAACCACTCTGGGAGCCCTAGACTAAACTTGAAGAACCAGTGCCCCATTCCTAAATAAATACATTGTCCCAATACGGTACTGAAACTTTATGTGAGGGGGAAAAAAAACCACTTTATGTTATTGGGGGAAGGAGGAGAGCGTCTGTATGTGTGATGAGGGGGAATACAGCAGGCTCAATTCTCATCTTTCACAGGAGAAAGTCAACAGATAATATCAAAATAGTATCAGCCCAAAGACTTGAAAGCAGCACCTCTGGGGGATAAAAATTGAGGGCTATAAAAGCAATTTTTTTGGTTGTTGCCAGAACTATTTGAGGTGAAGTGCCTTCTAACACAATCTGGTAGGAAACACGTCTTGTCATTGTGGACTCTGCAACCTCTTTGACAATTTCTGAGACAAAATAATAGAAATAATTTTTTAGCAGCAATAAATTTACAGAGAAAAAATTAAGGTCAAATGTTATTGTAATAGTTTCCTGGGTACTGTCTAAATTATTCTATTATTATACCAGAATTTTGCTGCACTGAATCTACTAACTACTAGGACGGAGATACCTTCTAATAACCCAGAAACTCGGCTCAGCATCTGAGTGCTGACCAGTACTAGTGTGGGTGATCAGAATGCGAATAAATAAGCAGATAAGGTCAGCCAAGGAAGACTTCACATGATACAAGATTTGAATTAGCTTCGCAAAGAGGACAAGGACTGCTAAGTTAGAGGTGTGGCCCGAGCAAAGGCAGAATCTGGAGTAAACCACTGGCAAGCAAACTACTTCTGAGGGTAGATCAGATGTGCAGGCAAATCTGAGCGGAATAAAATCTCCCGTATTTTGAGCAGGGAAATCAGATGGTAATGAGAAATAACTTTAAAAAGACCACCCATTTTTTGAAAGATCTCGTATGGGGATAGTTGGTTATTTTCTTTAAGAAACTATATTGGGACTAAAGATCTGGTTCCAGAAATTTCACATGGGGATAGCTGAAATCAATGTAGATGAACCCCCAAATGAACAAGTATAACATAAGAAAATAAAGGCTTAGGGCGCCTGGGTGGCTCAGTTGGTTAGGCGACTGCCTTCGGCTCAGGTCATGATCCCGGAGTCCCGGGATAGAGTCCTGCATTGGGCTCCCGGCTCTGCAGGGAATCTGCTTCTCCCTCTGACCCTCCCCCCTCTCATGTGCTCTCTCTTTCTCTCTCTCTCAAATAAATAAAATCTTTAAAAAAAAAAAAAAGAAAATAAAGGCTTACAGAGTCTCAACTGACATTATCATTAAAAGCTGGTAAAAAGAGAAAACAGAAGGTCACAAAGGCAGACAAATGAGACTAGCACCACAAAAGCTGAAGTCAAAAATATTTTAAGCATTAATCAATATTGTAAGAAAAGAGTAGCATTTAATTTGGTATTCTTTCTTTCCTGGATGTTCAGTGAATTGACCAATAGATCACATACCTTTGTTGAGAATTCAAAAAGAAGCAAAGTGACCCTTGAAAACAGAAGTAGTTGACCCCTGAACAGCACAAATTTGAACCGCACCGGTCCACTTATAACATGGATTTTTTTGGGCGCCTGGGTGGCTCAGTTGGTTGAGCGACTGCCTTCGGCTCAGGTCATGATCCTGGGGTCCCGGGATCGAGTCCCGCATCGGGCTCCCTGCTCGGCGGGGAGTCGGCTTCTCCCTCTGACCCTCTTCCCTCTCATGCTGTCTATCTCTCATTCTGTCTCTCAAATAAATAAATAAAATCTTTAAAAAAAAAAAAATTAAAAAAAAAACATGGATTTTTTTTTCTTATAAACACAGTCCAATTCTGTAAATCTATCTTCTCCTTATGATTCTTTTCTCCAGCTTCCCTTCAAGAACACAGCGTTTTTAACACATAGAACATACAAAATATGTTAATCGACTATTTACATTATTGATAAGGCTCTGGTCAATAGTAGGGTGTTAGTAGTTGAGTTTTTAGGTAGTCAAAAGTTGTATGTGGATTTTCAAATGCATAGGGGTTGGTGCTGCTAACCCCTGCGTTGTTCAAAGGTCAACTGTTGGGATGCCTGGGTGACTCAGTCGGTTAAGCGTCTGCCTTCGGCTCAGGTCATGATACCAGGGTCCTGGGATCAAGTCCCGTGTCAGGCTCCCTCAGGGAGCCTGCTTCTCCCTCTGCTTGTGCTTTCTCTCTCTCACTCTGACAAATAAATAAAATCTTTAAAAAACAAAACAGAAAACAAAGGTCAAGTGTACACTAATTTTCCTTACAGTAGGCAGTTTAATGATAGCTGCTGATGATGTATGCTAACTTGCAATGCAAAATTATCTCATTTAAAATGTAGCTTTAGGGACACCTGGGTGGCTCAGTCGTTAAGTGTCTGCCTTCGGCTCAGGTCATGACCCCAGGGTCCTGGGATCAAGCCCCGCATCGGGCTCCCTGCTCGGCGGGAGGCCTGCTGGTCCCCCTCTCCCACTCCCCCTGCTTGTGTTCCCTCTCTCGCTATCTCTCCTTCTGTCAAATAAATAAATAAAATCTTAAAAAAAAATAAAATGTAGCTTTATATCTATGGGTATTTTAAGAATTTCCCAAAGCTGGGGCGCCTGGGTGGTTCAGTCATTAAGCATCTGCCTTTGGCTCAGGTCATGATCCCAGGGTCCTGGGATCGAGCCCCACATCAGGCTCCCTGCTCGGTGGGAAGACTGCTTCTCCCTCTCTCACTCTGCTTGTGTTCCTTCTCTCGCTGTGTCTCTGTCAAATAAATAAATAAAATCTTTAAAAAAAAAAAAAAAAAGAATTTCCCAAAGCTGACGGGAAGAAATTTTAGTTTCCTGGTTATTAAAATACAACAAAAATCCTAGCAATTTGGTCATTCACCCACGACAGTAAAATAAAATTCTGGAGTCTAATATACAATAATGATGACTATGTC